ATCACTAGTACCCAGCACAATATCTGGTACATACGGATCATTCAGTCATGATCAATATGATCAATAATGATTTTCCTAATAAATATCTATTGATTTGCTAATTAAATGGATAAAGAGTGAAGTGGGGATCCAAGCCCAGTCTTAGAGGGAAATTAAGGCAAAAGCCAAAGCAATTGGAAAACTATGGAGAAACTGTGAAGTCAGGGCTAAATCCCATATTAACTGGGCCAGCTCTGTCTTAGGGAAGAAAAAGGCATGAGTTAGGATAAGTGAATACTATGAGATCAGGTATAAATCCCCATCCTATCAAGCAGGGAAGTAAAGTAAGAATCATATAATTTACACAGGTACCTAGGGATTCTTGATCAGATTGGCAATAAAACTTAACCTAAGTCCTTCTGAATAACGAACAGCATGTACTAGAAGACCCACAATTAGAGAGACATCCTATAATTTCAGTAAATAGTTAAAAGGTGGGTGGATGGATGGACTGAGGGATGGATCAGATTTGGCCTAGTGTTAAATGAGGGTATAAGGAGGTCAGGTGGTATAGGTATGAGACATTATGAAAAAATAAACTAGGTGGTAGCTTAAAAAGAGAAAGGAAGCTATTCTTTGTGCAGTGGGGTGATATGGAGTGATATAGTTATCTAATGTCACAAATATTAGAAAAACAATGTTTGTATTGCCGCATGAGGACAGGTTACTGAAAGAGCAGGTATATGCATAGTGGCTGAAACCAGACTCAACACGGGAGAGCTTGAAGCAAGCTTACAGTATCCTTCCTAGTCTGCCTGAAAGGTCTTCTCCATTCCTTTCTCCTCCATTTGATTGATGGGGAAATTGAGCCACAGAGAGGGACACTGACTTGCTCAATATTGCTCAGCACTGGCAGCACCTTGAGTAGAAGCAGATCTCAACAGAAACACAATAGTGAGGATATTATATTCTGTCCCAGGGGATATATGCCTGTGTGCAGGTTTGCAACTCTGGAGTGGGAAGTGGGACACGAGTGATTTAAAATGATGGAGAAATGAAATTGTATTGTATTGTGGAAATGGAACAGAAAATATGAAATGGTTCTGCTCATTCCAAAGCCTTATGCAATCTAAACACAAAAGTAAGTACTAATTTCCTGTTTACCAAACTGTTTGGGGACCTTTGGCAGTGGCGCACCAACCAGACTTCCCCTACAATAGGAAGCGAAGTTCCCAGCATGTTCCCAATTTGCTTGCTAACAGTCATTCACCCAGAAGCTCAAGAGAGTGACTCATGGCTTTGTTGCTCTGTACCTATTTCTAATGAACAAAGATAAATTGGTTATGGAATTAAAGATTTCAGGAACTTGGAAGAAAGAGTACATGTCAGTGCCATGGTTGTGAGAGCCAGGGAAAGCGAAGCATAATCAGACACAAACTCTAGATTATAGAAAACAGATTTTAACAGATGTGGGCTGGAGAAGGTGGTGATGGGGAATGCCCAAGTTCATGCATCAACTGTGAAAGGGGAGACAATTCTAATAAAGTTCTCACAAATGATCCCACGGGGAAGAGAAGGTGGTAAGTAGAATAAACCATTGCAGCTACCCAGGATTTCCTTGGATATGATGCAGCTTAAAGAGAATATTCCCACAAAAAGCAGATTAGTGTTTACCTTGGCAGGGATGAAGCTACACAGAGAGGGGGTGAATAAGACTTCTGAGACACAGGCGCTGTTGGGTATTTAGATCTGGGTGTTGGTCATCACTGTGTGTTTACCTGTGAAAATTTCAGCAGGCCATGTTTAAGATCATTAGACTTGTCTACATATATGTTATACTTCAAATTAATTGTGCAACCATTTTTAAGACTTAGTATATTTCCTTCAGGACTTATTTTTTAAATGCTTATATTTGCATCATAGTTGTCATAGAAATTGTACTTTTCTTTCTTTATTTTCTTAGGGTTACTATTCCGTGTAATTACATAGTCCTGTAATTAGCTTTGTTACTGCCACTGTGTAGCTAGGCCACATCCCTGTCTTCATCATGCCTGTAGGGCTGGACAGGTATGGTGCTCTTCATGGCCACGTTTATAAAAACACCAGAACCAACACCTGTGAATATACAGGTGATTCACTGAGAATTGATTCTTGGAGGTAAAGAGATTAAATTGATTATCTTTAAAGTTTAGCTGCATGGTTACAAATTACCCCCAACATTATTGGCCTCATCAAGCCCTTCCCCACAGCTCTATTCAACAGCTCCAGTGCACAGAGTTGGCAAGTTTTCTAGTAGAGTATTTGCAAAATCTTTTCCATTTGTAGGAATATAAAGTGGGAGGTCCTTCTGCCCATTTCTAGTCTCTTGGCACCTCTCCCATTTGACATAGTTTCCCGGTGAAATCATGATGGCTCTGCAGGGCCACTGAAGATGTTTGTCAGTTCTCTCTCTCTCTCTCTCTCACTATCTTGGGCTTCAGCCCACTGACCTTTTAAACCAAAGAACAAAAAATGGAAGCCAAGAGAATGTGAAGAAATTTGTTTTTTCTCCAAACATGAAAACAAACAAACAAAAAACCAATCTGCTCACTTTTCTCATCTTTTGAAAGTCTTAACTCATTTGGTTTTCTGGCGTTACATGTAGAGGGTTCCACTTGCTTTGTATATTTTTTCAAAATATACAAAGTCATTTTTCCTTTTTTTCCATCTTCTAAATGCACTCTTTAAAAGTACCTTTTTCTCAAAACATAGCATACTTCAAATGCCAGATGAACACCTCAAAAGAATACTTTATATATTTGAACTTTAATGTGTCAGATTCTTTTCACAATTCTACATTTTCCATTTATGAAACAAAACAATAATCTATTTTAAAAGGAAACACTTTCAGTATAAAAAGTAGAGAGGAAATGAAACACTTGTTCCAAAGAACAAGTCATGCCAACCCAACCTTCTTAAGAGAGTTCTCGGGCTGAAAGACGGGAGTCGTGCAGCAGACCATCAAGGTCTGAAGCAAACTTGACCCTATTCTCAAGCTATTTTGTGGAAAAACACAGCATCAGCATGAGAGCGAATGAGCAGTTGGGGAGATGAGTAATTAGTTAGATAACCAACCAAAGATTCTGATGAACAGATGAACGCCAAGCTGGAAGAAGGATACTGTTCTAGGTTTCAGAAATACAACCACATTTATATAAGAAGAAGCAGGCAGACATTTTTTTTTGCTAGGGGTTTGATGGTTGCTGGTACATTCACTGTGATCAGTTAGAAACTGAGATGTTGGGTCTCCTAAGGGAAGCCCAGTATAAGTAAGGAAAGTAGAAAATAGTGACTCTGGTTAATCACATATTGACAAGACCCATGTGGACTGTTGCTTCATGTTCTAGTCCTTTCTCACTAAGAGGGACAAACCAGAGGACATCCTAGGATGAGTGGCTAGGATGATTCAAAAGCCTTGACCTCTTATCCTATGAGAATTTGTTGAAGAATAAGAATGTTAATTAACTGAAAACCATCTCCCAATATCCAGACATCTTTTCTATGCAAGCAAAGGCAGACTTTCTGTGGTTTGGGGAACAGAAGCAAAACCATTAAGGAGCCCAACTTGGGTTTAATAGCAGTGACAATGTGCAGCATTCAGAGGCATGTGTATATAACATAGAGTCTGCTGCAGACGTTACCATTTCTTCTCTACTTCTGGGTGCATGGAGGCCTCCAGTTACCTCACTGGAGTCAGGCATGGCCACCTGACTGTCTCTAGCCAATGAAACCTGAGTTAAGGCAAAAGTGTTGCTTCAGATGCAAGGTGTTCCATTTGAATCCAGACTCTTCGGCATTCTCTTCTCCTGACTCAGTGAACACTGGAGCCTGTGTTAAAGTGGAGGTACCAGCCTTGGTCTCCGACTGACTGCAATGATGAAAATCTCCCACAGCTATACTACTCTCCTCCAGATCCAGCCACACACCTACATCGGATGTGTAGTTTGAATGGAAAATAAGTCTTTACTGTCTCTAGCCACTGAAGTTCATGGTTTTGTTATATTTACATAAGCTTTTCTATCCTGACTAATACAAGTGCCTTCAAGAAGCAATGGCTCCTTAGGAGTGAGCACGAGCAAGACAAGCATCATGTTCCGGAGACTCACGCATTGCCATCTCTGTCTTTTTTTTTTATTGCTACACTACATTCAGACTATTACTGGGGACATAACTTAGCAGGAATTTTCAACTTGCCCCAGGACTGCCTGAAAGATATCCTAATGAAAGAGGCTAAACTAGTTATCTTCTGGAACTCGACTTCCTGCCCAGCAACATCACAGATTTGTGGATCTCGTCCATGGGGGAAAGCCAACCATCACTAGACAGTTCACTCCGCAAAGATTCTACTGCCACACAAACACGCACAACTGTGAAGTCCACTAGGGACCTCAGGGCAAGAGTGATTTTTTTTGAACATGAACTTTACAGTTTGATTCTTACACATTCATACCAATAGGGCTATTGCCAAGTGTCTTTTTCAATCTGTGCATATAGATGCATTATTAACCTATAACAAAGTTTCCCAAGGATGCCCTCAGTGCCAGTTGCTAACCCGTGAGTTAATCTATGCTCTTGGTCCCATCTACAAACCCATGGGTTCTCTCAGGGACCCATGCAACCCAATGAAGTTCACTGCATGGCACAATGTACCCACTTAATGTTATTGTTAAAGCTGTTTGCTGCTGGACAGTATCTGATGTGTTTATAAAGTGCTTTTGTCTGGGGAAGAAGCTTGTGGGGTAATGGGAGCCAGGAAGTGAAAGGAACAGAGCTATACCTAGCCCGGAAAGGAATGAAGAAATAGAACTACAAGGTGATTCCAAGGGGGCAAAAAAAAAAAAAAAATGGAAAGAACAAATTTAAAATGATCATAAAAAATACATATGAATGCATATCTATGCAAATATACATGTATTTCTTTCTTTATATATCAAACCAAACCCACACCTAGTTAACTAGAGTCTCACTTCTGTCGTTCACAGGAAACAAAGATCAACTGTGTCCGCCTGGCTACGAAAGGTAGGTTGGCGTGTTCTTGTCTGTCTTTGGCCAGTTTTTAGTCATTGAAGTAGTTCTCCCTTGCACCACACAGGGAGAGCTGAGGTAGCAATCACCGAAAGTGATTGTTATTTTTATTGGAGCCATTTTCATCTAGGTATTAATGTATACCCGACTGTATATATTAATAACACGGTGCCCAAGCAGAGTAAGAGCTCAAAACACACTTGTTGAATCAGTGGAGGGATGGATGGATGGGTGGATGGAGTGGTACACTAATCAGAGGTGACTATAGATTTACTCAAGTATTCTCCTGCTATATTATATTTTATATTTGTTTATGTTAAACATGTTTATGTTTATGCAATTTTGAAGCATGTTTATGAAACGTATCTTCTGGATTATGCACTTTATTCAATTTGAACATGGCTTTCAAAAATGAGCTGATTACTGCCACTGCCTTTAACAACAAGAAAAGAAACTGCTTTGTATTGTACTCGGCATTTTCAACACTCACCCCCAAAACTGAGGCAACGTGGTTCAGGCTCATCGCTTTTTGTTTTCCTAATTATAATTCAATTGTCTCACTCTTTCAACTGGTATATGTTTCTGTTTATTATTCTTTTTATAGAAAAAAATCAATGAATGCTTTGTTATTTAACCTATTATAATGTTGAATGGTTAGAAATCGGGTTTACCTTTTTGGTATAGAATTGATATTTTCATAGCTATCCTTTCCTGTAAGCGTACCAAAATTGGGCAGCTCTCTTTTGCTCCCTGCATTTATTCATAGCGTATGTGATTTTATAGATTGCTTCCATGGAGATGACAATTATAAATATAAGTATAAATAGAGTCATAGATATAAAGGATAGAGAAAAACAATGACCCAAGTATGTATATATACTTACATGAATATATATATATACATGCATGCACACACACACACAGAGGAAAATGTACACAAATACATTGGGGAGAGACAGGGACACAGATTGGGGAGGAGGAGAGAGAGAGAGGAATTATCTATGGTTATTTGGCAAAGCACGCACCACGTCCTATGGTGCATAGCCCTTACAGCCTTGAGAAGAATCAGACTAACAGGTAGGCAGAGCGGGGAAGATGCAGGGGGAAGGAGAAGGCAGAAGCATTAAGGGCTGATTGGGACAAGAACTCACCCCTATTCCACGTAAGTCCTGAGAGGTCGGCATGTCCCTGACGTGTTCCCTCTTGGGAACTCAAGCTACTGGACAGAAAGAAATGAAATACCTCTCCTGAGGAGGCCTGCAAACAAGTGATACAAACCACAGGCCTTGACAGACTTTCCCACTGAAGAAAGCGGGTAACCCAGGAGGAAGGGCGCTGTCCATTGGAGAGCCCAGAGCACTAGATGGCGGGCATCACAGCAGGCTGTGTGTCTGCAGCATCAGCTCCAATGGCAGCAGGGAGAGGGGAGGGAGCTTCCATAGAAACCCTCACGTGAGGATGCTCCGTGCTTCCCCTCTAGCCTTTGACCTCTGGACACGCCCTTCGTGGGGTGTGTGGGATTCTAAGGACACCCTCTGAGACATAAGCCCCCTAACAGGTAGTTCGTTGGGCCCTATCTTCTGAACTTAGAGTTGGGAACATGTGACCAGACAGGCAGTAGGTACATAAGGGGCGTGGAGAGTATTTCACGCTGTACTTTCCTGGGACATTCAGGAGCCCCTGTGCATGTGTGTTTCTCCAGAGTCACCTTACCGGTCTAGGAGAAGTGGGTGGCCTTTAGAGACCTACCCAGAAGAGCTCTCTGCCTTTCCCTAGAGACCCTTAGGACTCCTCCTCTTGTTTGACTTCCAGGTCACAATCTTTGTTATTGGAACGTGTGAATCTCTAAGGAGTGAAGGGATAGGAACTCATGAGTGAAATGATGGGATCCCAGCTGGCCAGGCCCTGGCAGAGCTCAGGGGAGTCGGGAGTCAGAAGTGGCTCTGAGCAGCCACACCCAGGTTTTCCAGTTCACCGAGGGCACGCTGCAGCCCAGAGAAGCTCTGGCAGCACTTGGGATTGGGGCCGGGAACTGGTTGGGGCAGAATGCCCGTCAGCAACTCAGGGCGTGATCCCTGCTCAGCACCTATCAGATAAGAAAGAGGGCGCTGGTGACCTCAGAGCAAAGGGAAGGGCAGGAATCCTGGGTTTGGTTAGAGTCTGCTCTGTGCCTGGTGGGACCGTAGGAGCACCCAGGGTCGATTAAAGGCAGACAGAGCCCACTAAACCCATGCACTACCTATGGGGACTTTGTATCAGGATCTAAGGTCTCAAATCAATATTGGACCCATCCCTTTCCTGAATCAAATTTCCCTCTTAGTGGGTTTGCTGAAAACACTATTCTATGTAATGAAGGAATATGCAATACTGGGGACCCCGCAGGCATTGGGAGATGTGAAGCCCCAGTGGCAGATTCCACAGACCACCCACTTCCTCCACCTCTCTGTCCCTGTGCCACCTTCCTCCTGTGTCTGCCACCTCTCTGTCCCTGTGCCACCTTCCTCCTGTGTCTGCCGCAGGCCTCTAGCCCCTGGAATGGGGTCACAGAAGTGGGGGGCTGCCACTCAGAACGGAGCAGCCCCAAACACTCCTTTGGGGTCGTTCTAACCCAGCCCAGCGCATCTTCTGTTAGGTGCCACACCAGGCTCCAGGGTGATGCTCTAGCCCATGTCTGTCTATAATGTCACTGTTAGTCACCTAAGCTCTAACGCAGTGCTGCCCAGGTTGGAAGGTTGCAAAGTAAGGGACCTGGGTTAACTCTCTGTGGCTGCTGTACCAAAGCAGCGTAGACCGAGTGGCTTAAACAACCACACTTACTGTCTCACGGTGCTGGAGGCTAGAAGTCCCACAGGAAGGGTGCGTGCGGCAGGGTCGGCTCCTCATCTGGGCTGGGGGGGCGGGATCTGGTCCCAGCCTTTCCCCCCCAGCTCCTGGTGGTTTGCTGGCGTCTTTGGATCCCTTGGCTTGTAGAAGGATCACCCCGATCTGTGCCTTCACGTTCATATGCGTCTCCCTCCGCATTTCTGTGTCCGAAGTTCTGCTTATAAGGACACTCGTCATATTGGATTGGGGCCCATCCTACTCCAGTCTCACCTCCTCCTAACTAATTACATCTGTAAGGATCCTCCTAACTAATTACCAAGTAAGGTCACATTCTGAGGTCCTGGAGGTCAGGGTTTCCACATGTGAACTGGGGGGTGGGGGTGGGGTCACCGTTCGCCCATGACAGTAACCGTGGAGCCATGCAGTTGGGGGCAGCGTCTGTGTGGTTCCTGTCGGAGTCTCTGACCGCTCCCCATTCACAGTGTCACCCCAGCAGCTTTGAAAGGAGTGTAAGAGCAGGACGCAGCCCTGCCAGAGTGGGGTCCAGCTTTGGCTCCTGTTTCCTCCAGAAGCTGGTGAGGCTGCCTCCGGCAGAGGAGCCGGGTCTGTGGCAGCAGGACCCTTCTCAGACCCCACATAACAGTGGAGCGGCAGGTGCTGATCGGGCCGAGGTCCTGGGGCCAGACCAGGCTGGGCTTCCTGGGGAGGAGACCAGAACTTCCCTCTGAGGGGAGCCATGAGGGCTGCTCAGTCCAACCACTAACTGCCAGTCAGTCCCATGTTGCCACGGCAGGGTCCCTGGCACTGAGTTGGTTGAAATGAGCAAATGCATTGAAGTCAGCATCTCACTGCAGCTCGGCTCAGAGACCACCTTGAGGGTCTCACTGATCTTTCCAAAACTCAGGGGCATCATATTCAAAGGAATCCCCATCTACCCCTTCATAGAGCCTTTGGAACATACCTACTGCCAGTGGTTTGCCAATAAACCTGCTCTTTGTAAAAGAAAAGCCCATATTTATTGTCTTTGTTGATCTGCAGGTGTAAATATCCCTACCAGGTCCAATTTCAAGTTAGAATGGTTGAACAGCTGGCTGGCAAAAAAGGAAGAAAGGAAGGGAGGGAAGGAAGGAAGAGTGAGGGAGGAAGGAAGGGAGGGAGGGAGGGAGGGAAGGACGGAAGGCCCGGCATGTTTAACAACCAGCTCTAGCCGGCTGGAGCAAGCCAGCTCCAGAGCACCAAGACCTCTACCACCCAGTTTGTTATGAGGATCAAATGATATGTATAAGCATAAAAGTGTTTTATTTACTCCAAAGTGTTTGGGAAAATGTTTTTATTATTGTCCGTGTCTATTCTTGCCCGAATAGACAAGCTCACTTGTGGAGTATGCATGAGCCAGGCGTCCTGGAAAAAACTGAGGATTTCATGGTTCCTGTCCCCAACAGGCTTCCAGTCTGGTGTGGAAATAGCACAGGGATGACTTTAACAGACAGTGGTGCAGTTATATTTGTGATCAGTGCTTCGGAAGGACCTGGGGACTGAAGGAGCCCATGTTGTCCTGGCCTGTGTGTTCCTGGCCCACCACGCAGGGCTCTGCCCTCTCCACCAGCACTGGGGATTGGGTAGAACCCAGAGCAAGGGTGTGGCCTGGGAGGCCAGCTGACTCGGAACCTCAAACTGAGGGAGTAGCCATAGGCCTGGCCCAAGTCCCACAGGAAGGGCCAAATGCCCTGTGTTTATAAAGGATCTAGCTGGCAGGCTCACATATCACCAGTTTTTATTTACAGGGACAAATGAGAACCTCAAATGGAAGGCACAGCTACGGAACTGTGGGGTGGGAGTTCAGTATTTGGTACTGAAAGTATTAGCTCTAGGGTGGGAACAGGCTCATCTCGATGCCCCAGCTTCACATTCTTCTTTCCCTTGTTCTTCAGCTGGGGGTCTGCTGTTATTAGCTCTGACTGGAGATGGAGAGGAACCAGAATGTTCCTCTGTGGAGATCAACCATATCGGGGAAGCAGAGTTTATCGAAGAGCCCATAAAGAGGAACAGAGCAGTTCTAAGACAGATTCCCTAGAAGCAGAGCCTGAGGCCGGGATTTGGTGCCTGTGATGTATTGAGGGAGGGCTCTTGGGAGAAATCTAAGTGAAAGAGGGAAGGGGGGCAGGGAAAGC